AACATGTGGTAAGAGGATCAAGGGCTTGACATTTTGACGAGCGTTTAGCCATCGATACTTGTATGTTTCAAATATTTAAATTAGGATTTACATACCCGTAGAGCTATGTCCCATTCTGATAATATACAATACACTGTATGCAATATGCCATATAGTCATTATACTGTGAGTGAGTACATGAGATATCAGTATACTTAACTGTTGAATGCTACAGTAAATGACAATATTCGTGGCATTTTTTTAATTAAATGTTGTTTATTAAGTGTTTTTAGAGTCTAAACACAATTAGTTAGATTTGTCTGAGTGGTATCAAATTTGTAATTTAACTAAACTAACTAACTAAAAAGCCACTAAGAAGATTTCATGGAATATCAGCTATTACTTTGATGGTTTCTGCACATCCGCTTTATTTGGGCAGTGCATTTTGGCAGAATAATGTTGACCCTCAAAAATCAAGCCAGTTGTACTGTTCTCAGATCAGGGAGGAATACTCAGGTTCTAATAAAGGAGTAGCACTAAGGAAGAATCATGAGGCGGTCTCCTCAAAGGTTATTCAAACCTCGACGCCCATGAAACAAGTCTATCTGCACTAGAACAAGTCTGTGAGAAAAACACAATGTCCAGGCTTCTTAAAGTTTCCACTTTCTGTTTATCTGGGATTAATGTGCGTATGTAACCCTGCTGTATAGAGAGAGGTTAGGGGGCAGAAAGGGGGAATTCATCATCCTTCAGCGGCTACAGGCTTTGGCGAGAGAGAGACCTTCAGATAGGGCAAACGTGCTTCCTCCTCACCTCCGCCAGCCTCCAGTATCTCCACAACCAGCCCGTGATGAATAGGCCCGATCAATGGCGAGCCGATTGGTAAAGCAAGTAGAATCAAGGCCACAGCAAAGATGGAGAGGAGGTTAGAAGTGTCTCTTGGAGAGCAGACTGAATCCATTATGTTTCTAGTCAGTAGTACAAGTGTGACAATCAAATGCCATCTTAGTATGATTATGAAGACAGACACTGATTCTGATGATACTTTATAGGCAGCATTAACATTAGACTATCGATGAGCCTCATTGCCTCATTAATGCTCTATACAAATACGGTGGCACTCACACTGAAAACTGATAAGGATCAATGTATTTCTAAAGCAACCCTTGATTGGCTGGAGCATCACAATTTAAAGGCCTCGACAGTCACTTCATTTACACTTCATTTTCATGTTTTTTTGATCCCCATCTGTGTTCAACAATTCACAGTATGAGGACTGGGGAGAAACACTGCGAGTACCCATTTGAGCTGCCAAATATGACAATCACAATCAATACAACGCAGAGAGGGTTACATAGGAGAGTGATTAGCATATAATGTGGAAAGTGTTTCTAACCTAAATCCAAATTGTTTAAGAGCTGGAGCCATGCGGGTTATGAAAAATAAGTTCAGTCTTTATGCCTAGAGCCAGCTAAAGATATCTCAGCGTTATATTCAAGTGGTATCAATCCTCTCATCAAAGAAATCAAATAGCACTATATACAATGTTTACAAAAAAACATTAAAAACAAGTCAAATTACTGTGTAATGTTAGGTGAATGAATGTACACCACAAGGTTCTCTGGCTTTTGTTTTGTTTGTCACATGTTAGACCTAAAAAGCCAAATGAACTTTTCAACATTGTTTTCATTGCACTTTACATACTTCAAATAGACTGAACTGTAATGTGAAATACATCAAGTGTATTAGGACGGAAATAGCTGTTTATCTACTTTAACGTGCACTGACTCAGTACCATTATGAGTACATTGCAGGGACTGGGGGACAGGTAATACATTTTCCATTTTGATTAATTTCTAATTTAAAGTCTGACAAAGGTTTGTTCAGTTCCTCACATGATTACATCCCTCATAACACAGTCATTTTTCCAAAGCCTTTTTCCCAGAAACAACAAAAGGGAGAGACGATATGAAAATGCAACAATAATAAAGGATGTGGGAACAAAATACCTGGCAGCACAGAAGAGGTTCATCAAAAAAAGTACAGATGTAAAAAGAAGTTGGCGGTCTGTCACCTGTCAAAAAGAGGGGGCGTTTTAATAACTCTGAACAAAGCCATTCCTTCTAGCAAGTCAAACCTTTAATTACAAAACACGATAGGAGACCACGGCCCCACCAATATTACGCCGGCAACCTTGATACCAATCGCACAAATCAAATGAAGCGTTTAAAAAGGAGCACTGTAGTTTCTGCAGAGGCGCTTTGCCGAGTGAGGGAACCATAGCAATAGGGAGAGGAGTGATGCTCAAAGGGAAGCTGCTCGAGAAACAGCCTGTATGAAAATGGATGCGTCTGGAGGAGCAATTGATAGTTAGAGGACAGGAAGCAGTCTGTGAGGCAATTAGCACTATCTCTGCCATTTGATTTAAGACCGTCTTGAGTGCGTAATGCCGGGAATTAATCACATTCAGGGTAGGGGCATCAGAAGCCCATTTCTGCTTCTATCTTCAAAGATTATTCTCCTTCACAAAAAAATGTACTTTAGAGATACTAAAATTAGTGCAGCATATTCGTTTCCTCTCCGTCAGACTGGAAATGTGATGTGTTTGTTTGTAGGAGAGGCAGAAGTTGAAGCATGATGAGAAAGTTAAGTTGAATGCACAGCGCCAATGTATTCATCACAAGCAGAGCTCCTCATGGATGTCAACAAAAGAAGTGATTCTATTTAATGTGATCCCACACAAACATCCGTGTATTTGTACCGATGCAGGAACAAAAAATACACACACGGAAACAAAAGGCATTAACACACAAGCTACCCCATCAAAATATACAGCGCATGCATGAATAAGAAATATGTGCCACCCACGAGGCTGCAGAGAGACACGGCTCTAATGTGCCGAAATACACATGTGCATGAATAAAACTAGATTTTAATCATGTAATATTATTCTTAATTAGGACATTTTTACAACAATAATCAACTCATCATTTTCAATTAATGTTTCATTTAACAAAAGCACTGGCATGTTTTGCAGCAGATGTCTTTATTGACCTGCATGTTGATTTGAAAGAGAAGTGATAAATATATATTTGGGGAGATGTGTTGACTGGTTGTGCCCCCTAATGGAAAAATACATTTTTGTAAAAAGCTTTTTTTGTGGGGTGAATACATGAATACAATTTACAGCTTTTTGGTCAAGAAGACAATAATTGTGTCCTCATCCATTTTTCATTGATAGATCCGAAACAGAGGAGAGAAGCCATCTGTTTTGTATTTTTACCACCAGTTTGATCGAATGAAAATGTAGCAGCAAACTGTGGCATACTGGGACGTGTCATCTTATTTTAATAATAGCTTTATTTTTCCATCGTTAATTCATTACTGAATAATGCTCGTTACTACATGGTCTTCTGTTGAATTCATCAGACATCTATTCAATTCCTTCCATTTTGTGTCGCCCATAATCATAAATTACAAATTTGCCCCAGAGGGCTTTACAGTCTGCGACGTCCTCCGTCCTCCGAAAACTCCCCTCCCCTTCGATGGGGAGAAAAAAAGGGGAGAAACATTAGGGAGAATGGCGGAGGAGGATCCCTCCCGCTGCAATGAATGTAATGTGTACAGAATGAACAACATAAACAATGTAGAAAACATTCAATTCCTATGACAGGAATGGTTCAGATATTGAGAGTAGTAGGTGGTGTGAACGGCAGGACAACCACCATCAGATGTGACCACCTTCCACGGTCCACTGCTGCGGAGCGCAAGCACAAGGAAAGTCGGTAATATTGGTTTATGATGACAGGAATAGTGATTAATATTAATAGTGGCAGCAGCAGTGGTTGTCAGCAGGGCCATGACGAACAGGGTCCACACAGAACCACGATCCATGGAAACCTGCGAGGAAAGAAAGCACAGCAACTGAATTGGAGATGTGCATTAATGAGATGTGGATTCTTAACTACGGTCATTTTCCTTTACAAAAACATAGATTAACATAGATCACAGATTTGTAAACCCCTTTTTTGTATATTCCACAGACAACAGGGGACTGAACTGCTATGACAAGTTCCTCTTGCGAAAACCGAGGCGTTATGCGGGTTTTACATTCATAGAAAGCCTTTTTGCCTGAAGATACATCAGAGACAGTTTTACCTGATGTGCTGTGAGTCTGTCCTCTCAATCTGCTGCAGCTGGCCTACCGAACAACAAGGCTGCCCTCTGGTGGTGTTCAAATATGACTATGATGTGAAATATGATGATATAAAAGCAGCGGCGTCTGAGAACCAGCTACATTTTATATTGGATGTGTCTTTCCGGTCTATTATTTATATTTTCCTTCTCGTTACCTGCAGTGGGGGGTCTATTACTCTGCCGGCTGTTGGATCGTACATTTTGGAGACCATATAACATTACTGGTGACGGTACGGGTTAAAAATATCTGCATTCAGAACAGTTTTATTGTCTGCAGCGTGAAAAGAGAGGCCATAAAGATCTGTAGACTCCAGATAATCATGGGACTCTGTTTTTATGTGTTGGAAAATAAAGCCATGCGAGATTTACAATGGCATGCACCCAAAATGTGTCTTCATAAACCTTCAGCCCCACTGAGGTTTTTAATTCATCTAAAGTTTTGAAATATATTGGCACTAAAATGTGATTTGTGGAAGCAAAGAAAAGCCGTGGATTTGAATACTTGTGAAACCTCCACCAAATGATTTATCCTTGATTTTGAGTTCTGTTGAATTCACTCAACTGAAATATTTGACCGTGTGACTTTATGTGGTTTGGATTCAACTTTTGTAATTCGAGAAACCTTTTGCAGTTTCATGGCATTTCAACGTGTGCGATTCAAACCACGTTCATTTATACAGACTCGTTTCATAGTAAAATAGCTCAACGCTGTGAATTCAATGTCTACTAAACATCCAGCAGAGGTTCACAATAAAGTAATTATGTTACTATGGCTTTTCTCTGCTTCATTATTCCCTTTTCTCTGAAGAAAGAAAAAAAGAGGATTGGAAGTTACTGAAACACTTTATTTTCTTAAATACAACAGAATATTAGTACAGTCAGTCGCACTTTTATTTCAGAGGCAGAAGACATTCTGGTCCCTCTCACCCTGCTTTCATAAAAGGGAAACCTTGTGTGGCATCAGAGGCTACGTTTACACACAATTTCACTTCCTAATCAGGTTTAATTGGCATTCAAACTAGATAATCTGTGGCAGAGTATCATGTTGAAACAAACATTTCATTTAGCAAAGAAAACTGAAATGAACCCGTAGTGAGATTTTTGGTTCTTTTGCTGGTCGGGACAATAGACTCATGTTACACCGCATTGCTCGTGGGAGACTTCCGGCCGATCAGCCTCAGCCTCAATTTTTGTTGCCAACCAATTACAACTATAGGCAGATGTCTGGAACAGGTTCCTCCAGGTTATACTGATGACATTTGCAAGAGTCCCCACAAAACCAGAATAACCGCATTGGCAGCGGATGCCTCCATGCATGTAAACATAGCCAGTGCTGTCAGCTACAGTATGTACAGTGTTCATTTCAGGCAGTGCACGATGAGACCAGGTCAGTAACGCCATAGTGAAAAAATGTCCTTTTTAGGGGCGTTAAGGTTAAAGTGTTCGCAGTCATGTCAAGACATCAATTACATCAACTTCTGACAGTCCGTCTCTGAATTCATCTCTCTTAGTACCTTCACTGAAGCAATAACAGATTCATTGGCACATTAAACACCATCACCACCAACTAAGGGATATCGACCATTTCCTCACATTTAAAGACTTCTGTGAGGTAAAAACCTCAGCGAGCCGTAGCTGTGTGACACTTTCATAACAAAAGCCGTGAAACTAAGAGATTAAAAAAAAAGAAGAAACACCAGGGCTCGTCAATGTAACAGTGCAGCAGTATGAAATGGTGTATTCAGTCATTTGAAGACCGATAGGTAGCTGGGCACTGAACACAACCCTCTCTGAACAGATCAGCATCAAAGCAGGAATGTTGTGTATTCCAGGCCAGGGAAGATGCATTCAGTTCTGAGTGCCATTAGGTGGAGAAATGGGATAAAAAGGACGTTCTAGAGAAATACAGCTTATTTACAGGGTAAGAAAGAAGGCTAAGCTTTCATAGACATTCACAAACTTAATATCCAGACTATATACCAAAAGACATGCATAGAGGCACAACAAATTCATCATACAAAACAAAATACATACCGAAAGCAGAACACCAGCCAGGTGGCTTTTGGGTGTCAAAACCGAACAACAACGAAAAGACAATGAGCGCCAAAGCTTTGACATCATGGGAAGTGAAAAGGCAAAAGCTGAAGTTTCAGCCCTTTGGAATAAAAAAGATTAACACCGTCAAAACATCAGTATCTTCCATTTTCTCTTTACCAATACTGAGTGCCAGCCTCATTTGCAACAAAGTTCAACAGAATCTTATCACCAAAAGAATGAAATATATCCTTCTTTTTCTTTTTAAATATAGTTAAAATATCTGGTTCTTAAATTGTGTTTTCAACTTCCCCCTAATATGTTCAAACAGAAGTGTTACTGCCTTGATGATAAAAAAGGGAGAACAATCCTTAAATAGAGGGTCAGAATTAAAAAGGTGCCAGAAGTTGGATCTGAACTGCCATCTGGGTGAAATATACAAAGAGTTATGGGACTGTAAATTGTAAAAGATTTGAAATGCTAAAATTCGATTACGACAGTCAGATTGTTGTAAAAACATTTGGGTAAAAAGCTTATTAAGAAACTTTTATTTTTCTGCTCCCCTTGACAGAAAGTGTATTTTTGTACTGTGAAGCAGAACCACATTCTTTGAGACAATGACTAAAAACAGACTTCTAAAGAGTTGACATGAAGGGAATCTTTGCCGCGTTGAAGTACTACCTGTGTTGCTAAAGACAAACTATAAGAATCCCTTTTCTTCATTGCAAGTCACAAAACCACACCATTAATTACTTTTACATATTTTGTTAGCTCACTGGAGTTTGGCAGATCACATACGGAAGAAATAATGAAAAATCACTCTCATAAATTCATAACTTTCATTGACAGAAACGAGTTATTTTAATGAATGTCCACTTAGGGTCAAATATATCGGTTCTTCTTTTCTTTTTTCCCCTTCTTTTAAACTCTTACTCCTCCTTCTCGTGCAGCGAGGCACGGACGCGATTGCGCACGTAAAAAGCGGTGAGAGCGCAGCAGCAGGCCGTGAAGATAAAGAGCGCCACGGCGTCGTGCGCCAGGTGGCCGTGTAGGCCCTCGTAGAAGGAGCGGCGCTCCGTGAAGTCCGTTTTCAGCGCTTCGATCTGCATCAGGGTGCACACCACCACGAATATGTGAAAGATCTGGTGGCCCTGCCCGATGAAGTCACACATCCCCGGGAACAAGCTCTCCGGGTGAGGGCAGCAGAAGAAGTAGGCGCTGATCAGGAAAAAGACCACGTGGTAGAAATGGTACGCCACCACGGGGTCGGAGCAGCCCTCCTGGTAGCAGGTGTAGATACGGTGAACCACGGGGCTTATGTCTAAACAGTAAGCCAGGGCTGACGGCACCACTTGGCAGAGCTTGATGGCGAACTTGGGCAGCTCGGCTCTCGCGTATTTGCCGTAGCAGCAGCCGAAGCAGGTGAGCCAGGCCAAAAAGGCCGCGGCGGGCAAAAAGACTCCTTGCACCCTGGTGTGCCACTCCTTCTCTATGGCGTAGTAGTAGTGCGCCAGGGCGCTGCCGTACTGGTAGATGGCCACCCCCACATAGTCGAGGAAGTAGAAGCTGTAGTAGGAGAGCTCGGACTTGGCGGAGAGCAGATGAGCGAGGGCGCTGAAGGAGAGGTAGGTGAAGGACGACAGGAGGATGATGAAGAGGGGCTGAGCGTGAGGGTCTCGCAAAAAGTCCACCGTCACCGAGATCTCCTGCCACTTCACCAAGATGATGAGGGCGGCCAGCATGTGGGTCCACACGTTGAGGGACTCGTTGTGCCGTTGGAAGAGGGTGAAGAAGTAGTAGCGCCAGCTCTGGTCCGGCTGCCGGTAGCCGGTGAGGATGTGGCGCTCGCGGAACACCCAGGGAACGTCGGATACCTTCACGGTGCACGGCAGCGTGGGGAAGGCCGACTCCAGCAGCTGAGGGATCTGACGCAGCTGCTGCGCGTTGATGAACAGGCGGCCGATCTGCTCCATCACTACCGTCGCCATGGCAAAACTGGGGGGCCAGAGATGAGGGCGGGAAAAATAATGAGCCAACAGTCAGTTAGTCAATAGCGGTCTGACTTTGACCTACGGTCGTCTGCGTGTGGGTGTATCTGCACATGCACCGTGTTACGTTCCTGCATTATTGCTTCTCTCGTAAAGAAAAGAGTAATAGGTTGTTGGTCAATGAAATGAAAAATAATAATGGAAACAATTTATCAATTTGTGAGCTTGCACAGTTGTAGAATTGTAAAGCAAGTCTTGTTGTTTCTTGGACATTTTAACAGCATTGTGTTCTTACACTAATTCTGGACTAGAAATCAAGACAGCTGAAAACGTCGTAACCGATGAGATATTTCAATTTAGATGAAGTTGCAATAATTTATTTATTTATTTGTTAGACCGAACCACTTTCACAAACCCACAATATCAATAGTCATTCTTACAAATTTGACCCATTTCCTCTCTCCTTTTAGCTCGGTTTTGTTCCCCAACAACACATTTCTGGATCTTTACCTGAAATGCCCCACTATGATTACACAACCATAAACGTGTGTCGTTTGGTGCAGAAAACCAAAGGAACGAGCCACAGACCAAAAGGCTCCATGGGGATTAATTGCAGTGTTGAGTGATAATCATTCCATTCACATCAGTCGCTTTGGTCTGTCGATTAGTTCAGTTTGAAAGAATCCACCTGCTCTTTTATGATCAATCATGAATCATTGATTCATCTCCAGTTGTCGCGTGCGAGTGTTATACGTGGCCGCAGTAGACTTGGCTCGACGTTTTCGGTCGTTCGGCCGACCATCTGATTTGTGTCTCTGAAAGTGTCCACAAGCCTTTAATCTGCACCACAATGTGATGCATCACAGGAGCTCAGGTGCAATGAAGCTCTGACCTCAACTGGTCCTTTGGTCATAAAATCGGCCGATGAGGTCTTTATTTTCAATTTTCAGCATTGCTGATTGCAACGGGAAATGACTCCCTGAAGGTTGTAGAACTTGACAGTCAATATTTCCTGGAGCGTTTATGTTTGAGTAAGTAAGAATTAAACTGCTATTAAAACAATCCGATTGGTGTCTCCTTTAATTTAAGGCACCCAGAGATGTTAACGGTAGATATTTGAACAGAAATGGTAGAAGACAGTTGACAAAATGCCTGACTGCTGCTTTCAAAGTACTAACGTTCACTACCTAAAACGAGCGGGCCTAACCCTCCAGATGAGGAGGGGGGGTAACATCTGCTACAATATCTTTGATCGGCGCATTCGGAAAGGCAGCGAGCAGAAATCGGGCCGCCGTCCAGGAGGAAAGGCGTGGAGGGATGAATGGCAAGAGATTACGTAATATAACCCACCATCAGACGTCCACACCCTCGGTTTACAGCAAGGGCTGCGAGCCTATTTAAATATTTATCGCTAGTGGGGGGGAGAAAAAAAAAAAAGCTCGACAATAAGAAGGAATGATGTCTGAAATGCCATGAATAAAAACGCCGGCCTGTGCGGGCCTGTTGCAGTGAATTCCCTCAAGCGAGTGATGCACCTGACAGACATGTCTGTTTTAACGCGAGACTTGTGTCCGGAAGAAAATGTGTTTTTTTGCCCTTCCCCGAGCCTCGGGACACCTTTCCAATCCCCGCGTGGATCCAAGCCCTGTGTTTTGTGCCGTTTCGTGCTGCAGTAAGAAGATGCCGCTGCACAGTCATGGATTCAATTCAACGTATTTCTCGCTATGCCACTTTACCATTTTACCGGGGGGGATTAAGATTTAAGCGCGCGAATGAAAAGGACGTACCTGTAGATGGTGGAATCAATAAAAAGCCTGGAGTTCAGCCGTCAGCGGATGGTTTTTGGCCGTGTGGAATATAGATAACATTGTTTGAAGGGGTGTACAGAAAGGATGACCGTGACGGGAGAAGCGCCTGGCGGCTCTCGCAAGCGCAGTTGCTGGGAGGATACTGTCGCGGTTTGATGAGCGGGTCTCCCAGCCAACCAGCGAACGCGCTGCCGCTCTTTCCTGGTGCCGCGCACCTCGTTCGACCAATCACAGCAGCCCCCCGCCCCCCGCTGAAACGCTTCAACTGCCAGATTAACGCATTGCTCTCTCACGAGCATTTATATCCGGCGAGGACCATTGTCCGAGGACCAAAAGTATTATTACCAGTAACAATCCTCAAAATTAATAAATCAAAATCTTCATGCTTGCCACTTCAAAGTATGCATCATGCTAAATGGCTCCTTTCAAAGTGTTTATTACGTATTAATATGATATAATACTGTAGTAAGATCAGTTCAATGTGGATTGTCTTAATTTAATATTGTAAAGTAGATCTACTAGATCCCACCGTTGGGTTGCAACGACAAAGGTTTAGCGTATTCAACAAATGCTGAAGGGGAATTCAAGTTGTGCAACTAGTATTCCTTTTAACAGGCGTCCCTCTTCACAGACCTTCGAGAGGTAACTGGTGTGTAAAACCTGTAGATAGGATGGGCCATAACTGAACTGGCTTACAAAACATACAGTAGGCCTTCCTCATGCTTATGAGTATTAGTAACACAGCTTGAATTTGAGGCATGCCCGTTCTTAAATTGGAAATCCGATATTGACGTTATTAAGTTGACATCCAAATCTTAAGTTGATTTCTTAAGTGGTTAAGTTGACCACCATTTAATTTTTAAAACAAGCCTCCTCAACTTCTGCGGTCAAATAGATGTAGTGGCCTGCATGCGTCTCTGATGTGTAGCATTCAGAAACACAACGTCCTTTGTTTGAGCTCCTAAAAGATCTGCATTGTTTCTTGAACAAAACCATCCTGTAGTGTTTTCCCAATGGAGACAGATTCAGGGTGCGTCGGCAACACTAGATGTTTGGGGTATTTATTTACTTCGGGGTGATCTGGCAACCGAAGCTCAGGGCATGACCCATGTTATGAAATACTGCGTGTAAAATGAATGCTGATCGATGCATCGGAGAAGCTGGGCAAAGACGTGATCATGAGCAGTGTTCCAAACACGCAGCACCGACTGAGAACGGCATCTTGGAGCCCAGCCAGCCATTGTGGTAGAACACTGCACTATGGGACAGCCTTCTGGGCAGACGAGTCCGGCGGTTTCTTCCCAACACATGACAACAGTGATATTGTGCAGTGTGTGTGTGTGTGTGTGTTTGCATATCACTGCACATCCAGTCCAAACACAACAAACTATTTCTAAATGATATTTCTACAAACATACAGTACAAACGTACTCTCAAAAGAGCCACATATCTTTTGTTGTATTCGATTTAAGGATTTATCGATACGATAAAAGGATTTATTTCCATTATTTATTGAGGAAATCAACTGTGTCACGTAAGTGTCCATACGTTTACTAGTTTGTTGTTTTAAGGGTTGTTTTTTTAAAGCGTTGCTGAATCATCTGTACTTTTCAGACAGCTGCATCATCGCTGAAGCACATACATGACACTTGACACTGAATGATATTTGCAACGCGGGTAAGCGACCAGACGCTGACCTCAAGCATGTGCAAGATGCAAGCAACAAACAAACCCGTTAGACAAGAATTGTAAATGCACACTGGACACTGCAGCTCGTGTGGCATGCAGGTGTTTCGTCACATCTCTCACACAATGTCGGGCCTCTGGTGCAATAGAATGTTTTGGGGAAACACTCACACGGTATTTCCAAAAAGCTTAAGTCTTAAATGATTTGTGTTACCAGCGTGTCTAATAAATTAGTGTAGATGTCGTTACAAGAGCTGAAGAGCCCTCGGGTGTGCGCCACCATGTAGTCAGGGCATGTATGTCCCTCATAGGCCACGTTAACAGTGAGAACATGTGAGGATGAAGTAATTACTCAACTTGTAACGGTCCGTGCTCCTCCCATTTTGCATTTGCTTCTGCGTGATGATATCACCGCTTACAAGTGAGAGAGCCACAGCTTCGTACAGCAACACCATCAAGGGGGACAAACTATGGATTGATGAATACACGCTGGGGAGACAGTTTTACTTGCAACGGATTTGAAGTACATGAGTAGAATAAACCTTGTTTTATTATAATTTGCTGATTCATAAACCTCCTCGTCCTAATGAAGGCTTAGCCGAACCTCCTGCATTGCAGACCGCACGTTTCATTGTAATTCCTCCAATAAATTGTATTTGTTATGTCATATTTGTATTTCCTCTCCTTAATCTGGTGACCCCTCACGTTTATCTTGGGATCACTTGAGAATCACGGCGTGACAATTTCTAATTGATTTGATTTGCCACTAGAGGTTGTCGTTGTCAAAGCATCCGTGAGTACATTCGACCCTCATGTTGTACAAACACTCTCACATGAAGACGCAGAAGTAAAATTGTTTAATGGTTGAACCGGGTACAGCCTGTTATACTCAAACAGTATTTTTAAACATGGAAGAAATATCAACCGTACAAAAACAATTTGTGTGCTCATTTTAACATCAGGAAGAATAAGGCACATTTCATAACAAAGTAATGCCTCGTTAGGAAAAAATACAGTTTGTACCACAAAACCTATTTTTTATCAGCTGCCTAAAACAATTTGTAAACTAAAATCTTACTATATCCATACCCAAACTATCATTGTCTAACCAGCTTTTGTTCAACAGCAAAACCAGGACTAACACCACAAACAACATCATAAAATAGTCAGTTTGAAAAAATAAAGCTTATCTTTGGAGATGTAAAGACTGTTTTCCGGATCCTTGACAAATTAGTTTTCCACTTCTTTCTTTGTCTCCTTGTTCTTCCTCACTTCTTCAAGCTTCTTGTCCTGTTAAGTGTTTACGAGCAGAAGTCATCACAACACTGTAGTTTATTATTTCACCATTAAACGTGACATGCATTGACATGCCGTTAAGGGCTCACCTTCTCCTTGAATTTCTCATTGAGGGCTGCCATCCTGGCAGTACGGTTCTCTTTGTTTGCCTCCATCTTTTGATTGAGTTTCTCTTGCGCCAGCTTGCGCAAGTTGGAGTCCTCTTCAGCGGCCTTCTGGATCACCTCCTTCTCGTGCTCTCGTTTCTCCGCCAGGTGTTTCAGCAGATCGGCCTCTTGGCTCTGACAAAACGACAAAAGTCAAACGATTGCATTTGGAACCTAAATCCTGAACCCACGTGCGAAAGCTTCACAGCGCAGTGACAGTGGTATTCACACGGGTCATTATTTGAAAAATACCTTGCGTCTCTCTTCTGCAGTTTCCATTTTCTTTTTAATGTCATCCAATGTGGTCTTCTTTTTCAGAGGGGACAATGGGAATGGGGATTTGCTCTTGGCATCTGGGGTTGAGGCTTTCAGGATGACCTCAAATGCGTGACCAGAAGTCCGCTTGTTCAGCTCCTTCACTTGGAAGTCTGCAGATTGTTGTGTTATGAGTCAATGTCACAATGCAGCAATAGTACTTGAGTAATGACAAAGAACTAATCTTCAAAACGTGTCCCTCCACTGTATGCCATTGACTGAGGATATTAAGGAGGCACAACGGGGCCCTTGCTGCCCCTTTAGAGCTCACTGCTTCGTCACAGAGGTCAGCAGAGAACATGCATTTCTGCTGTGTGCAGCTTTTCGTGTTTCCAATTAAGTGTAAATAAAAACAAGATGTAGGAAAATATAGGCCGTTATTGCAACTCCAGCTCCTTGTGTAGAGTTGTAGGTATTGCGTCCTCGCAATACCTTTTTATTCAACAGTGAAATGATTCAAAAGACGATTTGTTCACACCCACCTTCAACGCTTTCCATCTTAGCAGAAATATTGCCTCTTTGATACCACTGGAAGAAAACATGGAAGAGATTATTATAAGCATCTCTTTCAGCAGTAGCAGCACAGCAGCAATGAAACTGCTCATGTTTTGATAGATAATTGGTCAGGCGGCATGCGAGCAGGCTTTTTTTTGTTTTGTTTTTAAAAGAAACTAAATTTAAGTTTCCCTCCTTCTTCTGCTCATGGAATCCCAAACATAGATTGTTGCCTCATTCCTCCATGTTTATTTAATCAATGCCCTTCTGATTGTAACCTGTGCAAAGCGGTTGGTGCTGCATAGGTGCACTTTATGCTGCACACAATGCTGTATAACGCACGGGACTGCCAGTTACAACATGACATGACTTGAAACACAGAACAAGTTCTCCACCTCAACTGCACACAAGCACAAGCTACGGATTCCCAGCAGCAGAGCCCAGTGGAAGGTCTCTGACCATGACGTCACTCAGCCGACTGCAGGTCGGGTAAAACGGTCATTATCGGGGCCCCGTTTCAAAAATGGCGGGGGCGGGGCAGTGGAAAGACTGCACTAACTTACACCTCGTAAAACACACACACACACTAGAAATGCCTACAGTCACTTTGAACGGGTGAATTACACGTGATGGGGACGACAAGGAGCAAAGAAAAAAAATTAGTAGCTAAACTTTATTATTAACGTTATTACACGAAGCCACTATGTTATTGTCGACGCAAACGTTGAGTTAATGAGTCGTGTTATGGTGTTTCGTAGTGTTGGAGTGAAGCGGCGTTTTGGCGCAGACTGAATGCATTTTTAGAGCGTTTTGGCGCAGACTGAATGCATTTTTAAAGCTTTTTGAATATCCACGTGCACCACAAGTTAAAGTTAAACCCACTCATTTTACGTCACCACAACGGATTACAACGTTGCTTAACAAACTCAAGCCACGCAGCACAAAGTGATTGACCTTTAACTCTGCCAAGGACTCGTTTGAATGGTGTGAAAGCCTGGCTAAACATTAGCATAAAGGCCTTGTTCTCTCACCTTGAAGTGCCTCGGCTTCTTCCTCTCCTTCCTCTGTGTTCACAACCGCCAACATCTGCACCTTCACGCGCAAAAAGCCTCTCTGAGCCCAACCGTCACCGGAGAGGTTTGCACTGATTGGTCCAAATCCACCAATCACAGCGGGGGCTGCGAGCGGCGCGCGATGAGCACGAGGTCAAAATAACACACGCACACACTAAGCTGGTGCAACCTCGTGTTTGGAGATCTGCATGTAACCATGTAACCGAAAGTTGTGTCACGTTAATGAAATGACTTTTAATTTATGCATTTATTGTCATCACATTCTTGGGTTGTTTTTTGCCATCCGTGATTAAATAGAAAAGCAAACTCATGGTAATACTGAACCCACATGACGACTGGATAATAACAACAGTGTTGATCTTAAGGCTGTAGCTACCAAACGTTGCAGACATAACTGTAAAGACATTGTTATGATCTTAATATTTCTCAGTTTATGTTATTATACTACTCCTGGTTTGTAGTGCTTGACTTAATACTTTATTGCGCCCCACGTGACCAAAATCAAAAACTAACTAATAAGAATTTAATACAATTAAAGTACATGTAGGGATAGCCCTCATGTCACTTTGTCTTACTGAGCAGCTAAAGCTTGTAATGTGTTTCACTTGTTCACAACAGCAGGCTTGATGAACATTATTACATGGCGACAAAATATGTGACATACTATAAAAAATACAGTTTGTCCTCTTCTGCTTCTTTGTCTGTGAAGACGTGGCAGCAGAAGAAAAAAGAGATGAAGAAGATAAGCAGAGGAAGTGTGTCTTACACGCCCCATGCTGAAGGATATTTGGAGGGTCTTACTTTTCAGTTTGAAAAATGTATGATGTTTTTAGTGGTAATTTGTTGTAGATGTGGTATAAGGTGGCCTTTTGGGACAGGCTAATTCGATTAAAGAAAGACTATGTTCCAAAATGTCCTTTGTATCAACTTTCATTCCAGCTCAGGCTGATCCGTATTAATTGAACTTCATAATCTTGCCTCCTGTGCATTTTATGTACAGAAAAGATAAGAGGAAGTGGTGGCTTTCATGATTGGCTTTCGTTTTATTTGAAACAACACAGGTTTTTGTTTTAAGACCTATGAGCTGTGAAAAATATACTTGTATGTCGGCAGAGTGCTTTGGAGGTAGTAAAAAAGCTTCAATGTTTTGTTATACTTCTCGATTCAAGAACTATTTAGCTGCATCATGAGAAAATCTTTGTGGACGATATGCAAGTCAATGTTGTTACTATGTTGCAAGTCAATGTTGTTACTATTGTACATTGTGATAATTCATGTTAATCAAATTCATGCAAATAATATTCCCACTTATTCGAAAATGAAGCGAGAGTTAGGCTCTGGCATATTTGTTGTTTCAGACAAGATATGGAAAGGATCTATAAATGCCATCACTGGTCACTCGCATTACAAACAGAAGGGGCTTAGAAGAGGCTTCTATGCACACCTGACAGCCTCTCTATATACATGTATTATTAAACACACCTCGGCTGTCAGAACAGATTGTTGGTTTCAAAATGTGTTCCAGACTAAATGATCCTGTTGCTCTGCTTTGCACACAAAGATACTTATCTCAGTGGAAATAAACAGTGCCACAGCAAACATAAACACTTTAACACATTAACAAAGATGTGTTATCGTTCCTAAAGATGCAGTATCATCTCATTTTATCGTACTGTAATATGTTTTTTGTTGAAGTTTTTTTTTTTATTCGAATACTTTTATTTTGAAGTGCAGTCGAATAGCTTCCGGCTGTTTGTGTTTACTGACCACTGTGAGCGAAAGGCTCCGCGAGACTAACGTTCATTACCACAGTTTGATGTCAAGATGGGTGCTTGTCTGGCATTGTGCTCTTTAGCCAGCTGTGTAAGTATCTAATAGCAATATTAACGTTATTTAATAGAATAAGAGTGATTCGACGTCATCGGCTGTCGTTAATCGTTAGGTGAGCTAACGCTAAGAAAGACGTTAGCTAAAGAATTAACATTATTTACTTCAAGCTACGTGGCAGTCAATACGTTATAGACGTTACATCAAATCTTAGCTTTTCTGGAGCTATGACACATATGAAGAAAGTTGGCTACCTACGATAGTTTAATTAATCAACATTGCAAATGACATAATGGTAGTCGGTTGGTGTCGGGAAAAGGCCGTTTGCACTTCCGGTAGAAGCATCATCGTAACGTTAGCTAACCGATGAGGTCCTGTTCATGCTGCTGAATAAGATACGTGGATGACGTTCATCCGCTTGAATCCAGTGTCTATTTTCAGTATTCACTTTCTCGCTGAAAACAATTTACCAGCCCAGTGTTTCTAATGGAGGGGAAAACAAAACAGCTGACGTCATAAAATTCCAAGCTGATCTGTTCTGCCCGAATCTCTTCCTTCACCAATCACGTCCTCTCCATCACCCGCAGGCCTCCTGTCTGTGTGGCTCCGCACCATGCCTTCTGTGTGGATGCTGTCCCTCCTCCCACAACTCCACCATCACCAGGCTGGTTTTCTCCTTCTTCTTGCTGCTGGGTACCTTGGTGTCCGTCATCATGATCCTTCCTGGCATGGAGACACAACTCCGTAAAGTGAGATCACGCTTCTCTTAACCTGGTTGCATTCAGGGTTGTATTGTATTTTATTTGCATGATGCTGATTCTGCAGTAGTGTTAAGTATTTTTAATACATTCTCTCCAGTGGTTATAATAAGTTAATTACACATTGTTGTGTGTTGTTTTGTAGATCCCAGGATTTTGCCAGGGAGGAAGCACTATAACTGGTTTTGAAAACCAGGTTAACTGTGATGTCATTTTGGGCTACAAGTCTGTGTACCGCATGTGTTTCGCCATGACCTGCTTCTTCTTTCTGTTCTCCGTCATCATGATTCGTGTCCGTAGCAGCAAAGACCCACGGGCGGCCATTCAAAATGGGTCAGTGCCTTATCGAGCTTATATGGAAAACATGTGTTGAGGGATGTGCTACTTCTGTCTGTCGGCCACACTGACGCTGGGTTTGTTAATCTTTACCTTTCAGGTTCTGGTTCTTTAAATTTCTGATCCTGATTGGGATTACAGTGGGGGCTTTCTTCATCCCTGACGGAACATTTAATACTGGTACTAACCTACTGGTTACTATAAACCATAGAAGACTGTATATTTATTTTAAAGCAATGCCTTACGCAAAAGAAAACTACATATTTCTGATAGACCGTTTCAGGAAAGTGTTTTAGCTGTCCTGACTTTTCACTTCACAGTGTGGTTTTACTTCGGCGTCGTGGGATCCTTCATCTTCATTATAATCCAACTTATTCTTCTCATCGATTTTGCCCACTCGTGGAACAAGGTGTGGGTAGGAAATGCGGAAGATGGTGACAACAAATGCTGGTTTGCAGGTAGAGCGTTCACTTATGTAATGCTATATATTTCCCAAATGATTTATTTTACAATTAACGTAATATTTGAAAAGGACCTTCTCTGCCGGCCATATCAGTGGCACATAATTAATACTGTGGTTTTAAGCCATCTGTGTCAATCTCATTTCTAGGGCTGCTGTCTTTCACCTTCCTCAACTATGCACTGGCATTCACTGCTGTGGTGCTTTTCTACGTTTACTACACACAGCCTGATGACTGCACAGAACACAAGGTCTTCATCAGCCTCAACCTGATCTTCTGCGTCATTATTTCCATTATCTCCATTCTGCCCAAGATACAGGTACAGTGTGCACCAGTCTCAGACTATACTGACACTTGGAAACACATTAAGTGTATGTGTGTCCTGTTGGTTATAGGAAGTCCAGCCCCACTCTGGTTTGCTTCAGCCTTCCCTTATCTCCCTCTACACCATGTACATCACTTGGTCTGCTATGACCAACAATCCAAGTGAGTCTGCTGTGTTCTTAGTCCACAGATACACCACTTTTCTGTAGGTTTTGGTGCTTTGTTTGTAAATATTCTTACTGATTTATTTCAATATATGTATTTGCTAATTCTCTGCTGCAGCATTTTGATCATGCTGGTAAGTTTTTACATGGCCAGCTATAGGAACAAAAAGTGGCCCTTTGCTAACAGTTAGCATACCTTCCTTGTCTCCTCTTGTGTAATCTACCTTTCCTATGTGAATGAGCATGCTTGTAGTGACTATAGGGTTGTTTTTATCGAAATTTGGTTCTTTAGAAACATTTAGACAAAACATTGAAGATGCATGTACACAATCCACTTAGAATTGGATTTCATGTCTGAAAAATGCTATTAATCTTTGACATTCCGAAGAACTACTTCCCTTGTGGTTCAATCATGTTGTAACACTAAACACACTTTAGTCTTTGCTTTGGGTTGGTGGAACCCTGTTTAGAAGAAAAAAGTGTTTTCACATTTATTCTAATGTCAGGGACAGTTATGTATTTATGAACACTTGACTTAAACTCATCAATTCAGAATGAATACACAATTTTGTCAGGCATAAGCGGTTTAAATAAGTAATGATTCAGTGTATTTAATCATCTTTTTGCTCTTGATATCTTAGATCGAAATTGTAACCCCAGCCTGTTAAGTCTGGTGTCGAACATCAGCACCACGGAGCCATCCGCCGACGGGACCCCGGGACAGGTGCAGTGGTGGGACGCTCAGGGCATTGTTGGCTTGGTCATCTTCCTCTTCTGCACTCTCTATGCCAGGTACCTTCTAAACAATAACAAATGATACGTTATTGTCAGTTTCCCATTATTTATGTATCATTGTAAACGCATCCCCCCCACTCCTCTGCAGTATCCGCTCGTCCAGTAACTCCCAGGTGAACAAGTTGATGCAGACCGAGGAGGGTGGAGGGTCAGGTGGAGAGGGTGTTGTGGGAGACGACGGCATTCTCCGGGCCATGGACGATGAAGAAGAGAGAGTCTCTTACAGCTACTTTGTTTTCCACTTCCACCTCTGTCTGGCCTCTCTGTACATCATGATGACTCTCACCAACTGGTACCCGTAAGTATCCATGACCTACAGACTTCTTAAATGTGGAACATAAGGCCCCCAAAGGACAGACACTAGGCCTTTCCACATGTCATTGTAGTTTAACTTGACAAGACCCAGGTCTGTTTCATTACCAAATTTTGCCTGTTTCAATAATAGATAAACATATGGACACATAAGGTATGTGAGACAGATACTGATGTAAACAAGCTATTGTTTCACCCAAACAGATTAACACTATTATTCAGATAGGAAATGTAATATATTGTAATCTTTTTTTATTCTTTCTTTGATGCCCAAACATTTTGAAACCAGATGCCTTCAGTAGTTGCTCCAAAAGCATTGTAGGGCACCTGTGTGGCCACCAGAGGGCACCACCCCCGTACCTCAAAGTTATCTATCCCTTGAATATTGCTTGAATGTAAACTCAAAAAGCCCATTGCCTACAGTGCAATTTCCAATCATTCAACATTTGAATAAAAAATATCACTGCATGTGTTATCTTAACTTGGTTTAAATTGTACTTTTTGCCTGTGTGTCCTCCCTCAGACCCTACGCCACCACCCAGGCCATGCAGAGCGGCATGCCAGCTGTGTGGGTGAAGATGAGCTCCAGCTGGCTGGGCCTCGGGCTCTACCTCTGGACCCTCACCGCCCCTCTCATCTTCCCTGATAGGGATTTCAACTGAGTCTTTAAGCTGTATTTGGTTGTTTGGTTTCTTGCCTTGTGTATCCGGCTGTGTGAAGGATGCTATGAGTGAAATAGGAAATAGGAGGAGGGAGGTTCAATTAATTATTTTGGTTATTTGTGTTGTTTTACTTCTTTCTGTGTGTTTCTATAGTGTGATCGCTAAAAATAATAATTTTTATTAAGCCTGTTTGATAGTGGTTTTAACAGGCTTTTTTGGTCAATGACTCCCTTCATAGGCAATCTTCTGCCTTCCTCCTAATGTCGTCTGAAGTCACACACTCAACAACATGGCACTTTCTTGATACCTCAGACATTTCAGTTACAGGTTCCCGTTTACGGGCCTCTGAGATGTGACTTCTCTATTGGGCCCGTCTGGAATCTCTGATTAGCTGGACTCATGTACTGCCGGAGCCACTAGAAAAACTTCTCCTCGGAGCCCAGAGCGAGTCGAGTGTGAGAAACAGATAAGCTGATATGACACGCCCTACACATCACAACAGGGCTTCCCTCTAGCTGCGCGGCTGTAGCCCTGCAAACCACGTCATTGCACTTCAGGCCAGAGATTCTTAATGGCCCACCAGTCGAATCTCAGCTCGTCCTCGTCCGCCCCGACGTAGGGTCATTTAACTCCGGTGCGCCGCCTGTCCACGTCTTCTGTGTAAGTATTGACCCATAGCAGTCGGCATCATGGCTGCGCATTGGTACAATTCAGAAGGTAATGGCTTCACCTCCACAGACCTGCGCTCTCACTAATGCCATTATTTCAAGAATGTCGCAGCAGCTCGAGCTCTCAAGTTGAGTTGATAAAAGGGATTTTTAATTGCTCTAAATCAATTATGTATTTCAGAAAGGATGACTTGCCGTTGAATGGTAATTACTCTCATAGTCTGTTTATTGGTGCGATGGTGGTACAATCATTTTATAGTAGTTACATTGTTTTCAATACGTTTTAATAAGAATGATGTGTTTGCGTGCTTTGTTACAGTCCTAAACATTTTATTGTCTTTGTTGTGTTCTTTTCAAACATTTCAATGCCCACACATACAAATCAGATTTGCTGTTTCTCTGGATGCGAGTATTATAAATGGGAAAAGAAATTTTATCTTTTACACGTTGTCTTCCTCACTTCCATTCATATATATTACGGTTTTGGTACACATTACAAAATAATAAGAAAACATGACTTTAAGATGTCAGTAGAGTCAACTACCAATCAAGAAACATTGTCACCAAAACTCTTCAAATACAAGTAAAGATGACAGTGCAGGAGTTGTTATACAGACTCTACCCACAGTATTGTACTATGCACCTGTCAGAAGGTCTGCTCCATTTGTATCATTACCTTTCACATTGTAAAACATTGTGCCTTATTTCTAGTCCTCTTTCAAAAAGAACAGTGACATGTGCTTATTATGCTTGGCCTCACATTGTGGGGAGTCAGTCCTCGCATGCCAATAAGGACAAGGCTTATGACAGGATTTAATATTGTAATTAATGTATAATCACTATTTAATAAAGATACCGCAATTAAAGCCTTTCACTTGTTCCCCGTGTTAAATACACTTAAATGAGTAAAAATGATCCCCAACATTACGCTGTGAAGATCTTTGATCACCTTTGATTGGCCCCGAGGATGTCGAGATGGGATGCGTAGGCGACAAACAGGAGAAAACGACGTACTCCGCATGTTGCTTCAGTTCAAGCTCTTTGAGTCCGGTGGATTTTCTTACCATTCGGCCCCCCCCGGGTCCCCTGCTGTGTTTTCTGCTTAAAGCCGTTCCTCCGTTCTCTCTTGTCTCCCGTCAGCCGCTAATGTCACTCAAAGCGATTTTTCGTGTCTGGATCTGTTCGGGAGACACAACCCCCCCCCTGTCGACCTCCACCCTCCCACAACCCCACCCCTCGCTCACTCCATCCATTACAATCGTGAGTTGTTGGATTGTGTCATGGCTTAGATGATATTTTTTCTGGACTAAAATATATATATATATTTAAATGTGCTGGTTCCTTACACTTTGCATGATGTTTTGCAGAGGGGAAGTCGTCTCTTGGCCTGACGCGCTTCACCTCATGGGTCAGACGCAGGGAGCGGATCTGTCGAGTCTTTCCATGCCATCGACATCCATCCTCCAATGCACAGACGGTGTAAATCATGTCACTAACAAATCACACACTGTCGCATTTCCACCATTTAAACGTTATTGTTTCACTTTCATTGTTCTGTCCACTTAACACATTCTCACACTTTACTCTTTAAAGAACTCTCCACTCATTTTTTTCTCGTTGATTGAAGCATTTACGTTTTCTGAGATCAAAGAACTCTTTGCTCTCTATACTCTTCCGTTAGTCCCGTCTGAAATTTAACAGCCTTTCAACACAGCCAAGAGCAAGAACAAATTAGCTAAGTGTCATAAATCACTCTTTTATTCCCCCAGTTACCATCACTTTTTTTTATCCGAGGATAGATTTAAGATACTCCGTCTTTGGCAATCGGCTCCAGCGTCATAAATCCCACCTTCATTTCCTCTGTTATCATCAGATGCAATTTGCCGCTGTAATAAGAGATCAGAGGCAGTAATGTGCTGATTATGAACCACTTAGTGCAGCCGCGCTCGGTTAGGCCTCCTGGGATTTTTAATTGCAGGTTGACGGAAACAATAGTTACCACTTGCAGTGTTACCCCTGACCTTAATCTTCTCTTCCACCTTCAGTCAGGGAACGTGACAGTTCAGCTGAATTTGGCATTCACTTGTGATGCATGAGGTGGTCACACTGTTTTGAGCATTGTTTTACTGTTTCTCATTTCATCCCACACTGCTGGCTCCTGATGTTGAGTTGGATAAACAATGCTTCATAAGAGGATTGTGCATTCCTCAAAACCTCACTGACAGAATGACAGGAACGGCCCATCCGAGGTGTAATTGGGTTTTTAAGAGCAGGATCCAGGCCCATTAAGTTGTGTGCCGCATGCAGGGGAGGTAATGGAGTTTGAGCCCTGCTGGCGTGCTGCATGTGCAAGGAAAACATTTACACTGAACCCCAATTAGGCTTTTTAGGGATGGCGCACTTGTTGCCGGATGAAGGAAGCGAACTTGCCGATGCCTGTCACACACAAATGAGCTCCGATATTGTTTTATTTTCCAAAAAATTGTTAAAACTTCTGCTGAACTGCAACTGTTTTTCTCACCCTGGCAACTCAAGTCACTGAGCTAGAAGTCGGAAGAGTGGGAATGTGTGTGTGCGTGTGTGCGTGCAGGCCTCCCCTGTGCGCATGCTCCCCCCCCAGCTCAGAGGAGCAGCTAATGCAGTTATATAACAGCCAGTGCGGCCGGCGTCTGCTGTGAGCCAAATGCCAGGCCTGTCACGTTACGTAAGCCTGTCAGAGTCATATTGTAGCAGCACGGAGCGCGCTCACTCCACAGCGTGTCCCTCGCCCCCCCCCCCCCCTCCCCCCGTCCCCGGCTCCGTCTCTCACTTCCTCCCACTGTCTGCTTCGCTCTCATCTCCTCCTTTCCCTACACCCCCCCCCTGCCTTCCTGCCCCTTTGGCTCTTTGCTGCCGAGTCGTTCTCAACACCCGTAACTTGAGCGACACAAGAGGGGGTCCAACTGCACATCCACCTGCTTCTTTCAGCGGCCCCCCATCACCCGAGACCCCGGGTGGTCTCTGGATCAGCGGTGACCTCAGAGCTCAGATGTACCAAAGGTTGTGAACACACGGCCCGCAAAGTTTTAACCGGTCACACAGTCATCCAGGAGGAGTTGATCGATCTGTGGTCCTTGGCTCCAATTCATGTTCCCGGCGCGTGGCACAATCTCGCCATCAATTTACATATCGCTCCATCTGCGGCCGGAAGGTGTGAAGGTCAGTATAATAATATTCCTGCAGAATCCTGAGAGTCAACTGATCAGAGGGTGCATGATGATTACACCCCCCCGCTTGTTAGAAGCATGAGGTCGCCTGGCTAATTGGAATTAATGGCATTAACCAGGCAATTCTCCGTCTCAGCCAATGGGCGCTCGCTCTCCGGGCTCGACGCGCAGCCCACTGGTGGAGGCCGAGCGGGTGGGCGGGGCCCAGCGGACCCGCCGTGCGGGGCGGTGCGCAGCCCGAGAAAGTGTGTTGCGTGTTGCGGGGCGCGATGTTGTTTTGTCGCGGCGATCAGCTGGAAGTGGCGTCGCCGGTCCGCTCTGACACAACAGCGGGAAGCCCCCGGAGCCCCGAGCCGGCTCCCCGCCGCACCGAAACACGCCGGCACCGACGGCCCGATCCGGGCATCGCGATCCAGGAAATGCGGACTTTTGGCCCTTTCGCCACGGGGCAAATGGCTGCAGCCGCCCGTACTGAAGCGAGCTGGTAAATATTGAACCGTAATATGCCGCCTCCCGGTCGTCACTCGCTTGCTCGTTGCGTCGCAGCGGCTGTCACGCTGAGGAGCCACACGGCGGGAAGTTGAGCGCGTTGCGCCGCCCGTGCGTTCACAGCACCGGCGTGAAGTTGCCTCGGTATGTGTTCCGATACGTGATGGGCGAAGGGGGAGAAGATGGACCACAGCAGCAGTCTGGTTCATAGGGGATTTGTTTTTTTGTTTTTTTTGGGGGGGGTGGGGGGCGACTCTAAACTACAGCGGATGGACGCGCTGCGCATCCATCCGACTGGATGTGCGCCTCATCACGCGCGTTTGCGCTTTAATAACAAACCGGAGAGAGAGAGAGAGCGAGAGGGAGAGAGAGAGAGAGAACAACACTGCGGACACATTTTGGATTTTTAGATTCACTCCTGTGAACTTATTTGTAATGGGCTACACTTGCCAGATTCTTAGTGGATGACATCATGCTTTTGTGCTGTCTAATGACCGACGTGTTGAGGTTCACCAAAAATGTTTCATTCGGCAGCAGTTTAGTAACTGGGACTGTTATATAGTCATACTACCCATATAGCGTCTTGTCATGCCAATGTTATTCCCATTTGCATAAAGACACAATGCATGACTGTGTGGCTGTTATTTGACACGTGCACTATGCTACAAAGCTTCCTCACAAACCTCATCGACCATCACCTGCATGTTGACCAGAGTAACAGTAATCTCTATCCATCATCTAGTTATCTATCTATGATCTCTTACTGTCAGTGCTGTCAGTTCCGCAGTATGACCTGCGTTATATTGATATTACAGCAAGTAAAGACATTGGAAAATCAACATCAGGCAAAGTCATTGGATTTGATGTGTCCAATATCCTTTTGGCAGGAACGTGGGACACACGGGGATCTCAGGAACCAGTTGCTGCTGACAAAATACTTTTTTTATTTTTACGTTTTTTTTTAGTAGAGTTTCAGCATCTTTCCAATTCAACTCCCCATCCAAAGATGATAGCATTGCAATAACAAAAGCAGCGTTGCTGCAGTGTCTTACCCTCAGCTCTGGGTCCGTGTAACAGGAATACAGTCAAGTGTCAGACAACAGTGGTGAAGGCGGATGGGTGGAGAGAGGCCAATATGCAATTATTTCTTATTGAATCAGCGCAAAGTGGCAGCCTTACAGCGCTCCACTCTGGCCTGGGTCAAGACCACTTGTGGTGCTGGCTACAGAAAGGCCATAGCTCAGCAGGCACCCAGGGAGAGCGCTGCTCCATTTCCTTGCAAATCTCCAAGATTGCTTGTCATTGTCAAGCAATGTTTCCATACCTGTGTAACTTGGCAGAAGTGTTAGAAAGCGCCTTGTAAAAGACGATTAGTAGTAGTTGGAGCCGAATGTGCTTTTATCCGTTCAACCTTTAGTTTAGCCGTGCCAAATCAGTACAAAAAAGCTCTGGTGTTGGGTAACGTTGCTGTGTTCCCGCCCAATGATTTGTTCAGGTACAATAAAAGTGAAACATAACTCTGTCAGCAGTCTGTCAGCACTAACGCTGGTTACTGACGACCTCAATCACATAGTCAGACAGGTTTGTGTGTGTGTGTGTGTGTTTGTGTGTCCATATCTCTCTGGGAAAGGACCGTTTTCTCTCACGTGGCACAACAGCTCCATCTCTCACACACCGAGTCAGCCTGGCAGGTGGCAACATGTTGATCTTAAATGCATGAGATGCCATCGGCAGCAAGAGGGTCGTGTTCATGTCCCGGCCTCCAGACGCACCTCCTGATAGCCGCAGCCCACACCGGAGCAGAGGATCAGAGGAAGAGTAAGAGCGACAGTGGAGCCTGAACCCTTGACGTGGAATCCTTAGGATGGCGAGGTATTAGACGGCATTGGGTCCTTTCTGCTTTCTGTATGACTGCAGGCTAAACAGATTTCCCAAAGTCTGAAATGGCATGTGTGAGCATGTTGAAAGTTTTGTTTTCTCCGCATGAGCATGCAAGAAGGACGGCATCGTTATTGGTCTCCTGCAAGAAAAACTAAACACCCGCCCAGTGGAGGCTGTAATATCCAGGCAGCGAGTGGACACAACCTTTTTCGTGTCTCCGCTGATGGTCATTCATTTTGTCCTCTGAAGCACCCGTGAAGAATAGACGCACTGTTGTTCTGGGAGACCGGAGTCAACCAGGAACAAGACTTTGGATACACATTTGTAAAAACATGAACGTACAGACACACACAGACACGCAAAATAGAGGCGAGCGGTGCCAGTCAGGCAACTTCACAAACGCCCCCCTTTCCTAATAATGTTATTGCATGCAATCGTTTTCCTTGTTCTAAATAGACGTTAGTTTGTCTTTGCCGCGTGTGTGTCTGCGTGTGCCTGGCCTCGACTCAACCTCTCGCCCAGGCCAGTGTGCGTCGACGGACGCTTCAAAAGCAGATAGAATTTACTGCTGTTGGCCAGGGAGCAAGAGCCCGCTCCCGTATAAGTGTGTTAGTGTCTGCCTCGCCCGATCCCATGTGTGCCAGCCCAGGTTATGCAAGCGATGTGCCAGCGATGTACGGGCAGGCTCGAAGTGTGGAAGGGGAGACGACGCGCTGTGTCGCGGTTACTCATTCAAACACTCCCCTCGATCAGAGTTAATCATTAGCTAATTGGCACAGTTTGTAGCCAAGTGGAACGTCGAGGGGTAATCCTCCCTCAAAATAGGCCACGAGTGCATTAGGTCGCACCAACTTCTCCGCAGCCCACGACGTGCCACTCGGACGAGTTCGACATTTTCTGAACGTTTTGTACGTATTAAAGTTGTTTGTCTTGTTGTATCAACATTGACGGCGTTTTTGCGCAGGTGTTCACATTCCACAGTGGCCGGTGTGGTGCAATCGTGATCGCGGGCTTCCGCACTGATTACCACAGGCATGTCTTTCAAGTGCTCGTACAGGATCTCAGTGTGTAGGCGTGTGTAATACTTGGGAGAGGCTGCTTGGAAAATGCCCCTCAAAAAGGGATAACACTTGTAGTGGCTTATTAATACATGGTTGGCCGAGCGTGTAGAGTTCACTTGAAAGATGAGCTATGTGTCCATGTCCAGTTTGTTCATTGATAGGTGATGCAGGCCAGGGGTCAAATAAGTGTCTGTTTGCCGCAAAACAATGTACCCTGATTAAGGTCATTTGTGGTGCATCTTTTGTTCTTAGACTCGATTGCTTCGCTCTCCTCTGTGTCGTCTTTTTCTCTCCTCTCCTCTTGTTGCTGTTCCTCACCCTTCCACTGTTTTCACCCCATGTCTTCTTGTTCACTTTTCCTGCTTCCTTTCCTCTAATCTCCTGTTTTCCTTCCTCTGCTCTGGCTTCTCTCTCCTCTCCTCTCCTCCCTCACTTAAGTCCTTTGTCTCAGCTTGTGAGGTATTCCTTGCCGTAGCTGCGAGTGAGGATTGGAGGGGATTTCTGCTCTGCTCTGGGGGGGGGGGCTCTCGGAGGAAAATCCTTCCAACCCTGACCTGGATCTGCCGAGCAAATCGAGGCAGCAGGCAATGCTCCACTACAATCTCCTCCCTCCATGTCACTGTCACTGAAGCAGAGCAGTTGCCCTCTTTATAATCCCCATGAAACCTCTGGATTCCAGGTGTGCTCGGCCTCACCTGCGGTGTACCGCGTTCAGCCGTGAGGAACGCTCCCTTACCTGGTGGGCCTTCTATGAGAGGTGTTCAGCTCTCTGTGGACCCTCCTTTCCGTGTTCTGCTGTATGATCCATAGTCTCCTGAATATCTGACACAAGTTGGCCTGTCTGTGTGCTGTGTGGGAGCATGCACGCATGTGCATTTGTTATTCACCGCATAGTCCCTGTAGGCGAGGAGTGCCCTGACATCGTCAGGTAAGGTCATATAAAGAACAGCTCATTTTAGATGCTGTTTATTATGCATTAGTGACTGCCATCACTTGGGAAGGTCATTTGCTCCACACGCCGATAAAGGGCACGAATATCCAAAGACTTTGGTGCGTTTAGTTGAGGCAGGACCTTTCGTTTCTTGTGGTTCGATGGTGCTTCTGATGACCTGCTCAGAAACCCTCCGAGGTCAAGTTAAGTTTGGCAGAAGTCTTCCATTTGATGTCGCATTGCAAATATATTTACATGAGATGCGTAGGTGTGTCTCTTCGTGCTTATATTTATATATTCTGCGACTGTTTATGTGTATAATATTTTTGCTTATGCTTCAATATTGCGGCCTTTAAGCGAGGGCGTCTGTTTCACGTAATTGAAGGTAAATATTTGCCTGAGCATTCCTACAGACAACCTTCCTAGCTTGGTTTAAACAGAACACAGGCCACCACTGTACTTCAATAAAACCAGAGCGCCTGTCACTTTTTTACTATCCCGTACTACCCAACCCATCTCACAATGCTATGGTACATTTGTACTGTGCTAATGCAGTGTTGAAGTCTTTTATAGCACCCCGTTATATTATAAGAGATGGGGATATCAATTTTGGTCATTTTTTTAAAACCAATTTGGATCACCAAGTGGAGGCGCTGATCTTTGCAGAGCATGCAGGTTTTCTTGCTTAATACTACTGGGGAATGACTCTGAGAAACAAGGCTCAAGACTAATTCAATTTAGAAAACGCGTTAATTTCCCAATTTGTTAAAAAGCTTTTCCCATGTATCAAGTCTGCATTCCTTTTTTGTAACGTGGTCATTCATTCGTGATCATTTGTGAAGAGAAGTCAATTGTAACAAAGATATATGGCTGTACAACTTCGTTTTTTACTTTTTAGCTCAGATCATCCATTAACATCACAAATGTGATTGCTGAGGTATCAGAAGGCAGTAAAATGAGTCGGCCTGAGCAACAGACACAAGCAGTCAGTAAAGTCAATGTTAGTCTAAGATTTTGTACGGACAAACCCACATTTGTTTACTTTCTGTATGAACCTTGATAATCCTCGATGAGACACAGTCCAACAAAAGAGACTGCAGGTGAATCATCTCCGGCAGGAGC